CTGCCATCTGTCAACGAACGTAAAAACAAGTGGAGCAGCATAGGCCAAGGTTTTTAAATGCAAATCACAAGCCTGCGCTACTTTCCGCATACAATGAATGTTATGGGATTCATGCACTACAAAAGCACTGAAGAATGCTATACGCACGAAGAACAAGTAGAGTTTTAACTGAAGTGGTCAGACGTTAACCTTTAACTATCCAAAGTGGCTGCATAAAATCTCGCGAAGCTGATATGTGTACTCTGCGGGCTATAATCGAAAGCATGAGTAGCCACGTATTTTCACAAAAACTTCGCGTCTCGCAAGAACGAATCAGATTTATTGTGCCACGTATGGTCTGGTATATTCACTGATTCACGAAACATACAAAGTGGTTTGTGTTTGTTTCTTGCTAATGCATTAACACTGCGGCTAGCACCACCGAACAGGAGATTATTTGGAGCGTCTGCCTACTGATCATTCTTGAGAGGACGCTCCTGAATTCCGCTAGGCAGTGCAACAGTCTATGAACACTGCAAATAGCGTTTGCCCTCCTGCAAACTGCAACGCACAATCGCAGCGACACCGTAGCCTCGAAAGCAGCGCTTGCAGGCACCCTTGCTACCGCTATTTCGGACTTTCTGCTCGCAGGCTGTGAACGCGACCGGCGACTCTCCTTACGACGCATGCGCAGTGGCAGCGACCGCACAGCAAGGGCTTGCGGTGCGCTATTCTTAAACAACCTAATGAGTTCATCTCTGCTTGTGACGAAAAAGCGGAAGTTTTCACTAGGCGAGAAAGTGGATTGCACCACCGAATGTGGATGAGCTGGAGGCCTTCGCGCTGCAAAGTTTGTACAGCACGCGAAAAAAAATGAATAAAAATCGCAGACTTTAAGTGAACGTGCATTTTTTTGTGTTCACTTCTGCATTTGTTTCTTCTTGTGAACTTCTTGTGAAAAACGAGTTTGAGGACCCACTGTCTTAAAGGTAAGTCATTTTGGTCGGTGGAAAATAAGTATTTATGGTCAATTTTTGGGCTTTCACTATAACGACCTTTCTAAATAATGAATGAACTGCCGCAGCCCCCTGAAGTTGGTTATACCGAGGTTTCACTGTAAAGTTAAATGAGCATACTTATAAAAAAAAAAACTGAAACAATGCATCTGCAAATGTCTTTTTTTTTTTTTTTTCAAAGGAAGTGGAATTAGCAGGATTTGGCATTTGGTAGAATGCAAGAGATAACCTGCAAAATACATTTTGTTTTAAAACTTACGATACTTGGAGCATATAATCTGGTACAACGAGCATTTAAACTGAAAAACTTAGAAAAGGAATCGGTGGTAGGGTAATATGTTCATTTAAGTTTAAAGGGGAGGGGGGCTTCACAGAAGAGAGTATTTCCCTGGTTAAGGAGGTGTTGTAGGGTAAACTCCTCATAAAGTTGAATTCGCAGTTTTGACAGCAAAAAGTCTACTGCACTAAAAAAAAGTGCACTGCACATAAAAGTTTGTTTTTCTCAAATTGTGTCTTTTTTTTATAAATTTGTGAGCTTCAGTGTACCTTTCCTCAAAAGGTACAGAATAGATTTTAATGAAACTCTACGTGCATGAGCCTCAACAAGTTCGAAACAATGTGAACTAACTAAAAATTGCTGATTTCCTGAAAGGTGAAGCTGTAAAAGAAATCGCACAGCAATATGCACCGTCAGTAGCGTTGTGAATGAAGCTGTTTTATTTTTTTACAGTAACTCCCTAAATTGTGTCCTATTTCTTCAGTTCGGATATAACCTACGTGTATCTACAATAATATGGCTGAATATATTGTATTCCTTTCGGTGGTTGCTCAGAAAAGGTACATCGAATAAGGGAACCCACATTGGAATTTAGGAGTGGGCCATAGAAAGGATAGGCAACGTGCACATAAAAAAAAAGGTATCACATGATAGATACCCAGTGGAATTCTTTTTGAGGATGTGAAGCTTTATGGGAATACTTGGAGTCACTTCTAAAATAATATGTTTAAACTGACATATACCAGTTACCCTACCATACCCCTTTAAGTGTTTTCACAGCAAAGTACATTCTACTGCAGTGAAACCTCCTTTTAGAGGGGGCCACATGCGGACTAATACGCATTTGTTCATTCATTTCGACTTCTTCAAAACTATAATAATTTAAATTTGCATTGAAATGCATGTGAATACTTTAGTATATTCGGAGCATTTGAATATTCACAGAAGTTTAGTTTATTCATAATCATACCATGATATAGGCACTTTAACTTCTGGCATGCAGTTATAAATTAGGCAAACATGTGCCCATCTTGTTATGATGTCCAAATAAGTTATGCATGCAAAAAAATTTGGTGGAATTTTCTCACATGAAAAATGTATAGATAACAATATTTAGTGCTGGTGTTTATGTGGGGCTTTTGATTATTTCATATCGATCACACTGTGCACCCATCACACAAATCCTAATGCATCTTTTTTTTTTTTTTTCATGGGATGATGTGTGCTGTTTTTTTGCTGCCACTCACCAACTGTTGTGTGGGCATTAAAAATTCTGCACTTAGTTATAGTAAGTGCCCAACAATGTATTCGTACTAAACTACTCTTACCTTTAGTTGTGTTATTATGCCATTAAAGATCATTCTTCTGTTAATGTTGAGCCTGTTTGAATACTTAGTTCTTGCAGCATATTTTCTCATGGGATAGTTTTAGCTGTTCCATATTTTTTTTAATGAAACAGAAATTAAGGCTCCTTTTTCCATTCTTAGTACTCTAAACCCTAATTTATAATAGATATAAAAAACATATATATATAGAACTGTCCATAAATATGGAAATTGGTAGTACTGTTTGACCCAGTTTAGTTAAAATTTCATTTGTGCCGGCACTGCACACTTGTTGAGCAGCCTGGGAAAGTGTTGTTACCACACCCTGTCTTGTTTACATTTTAACTTATTTGATAACTAGCACACCCCATGATATATGATGCAGCCACCAGACTGATTTGAGAAACCAGTGTATTTGTCCCTGAAAACACACCCCACCCAATAGGTCCTTCAATGTGTCAACAAACGCCGTTGGTTTCAACAGCAAAGCCAGAGCCTAGAGTTCCCAGAACTATTATTGATTTGCGCAGTTACGTACAGTTCCATACATATCCAGACTTGGCTGCATACATGGCGATAATTTCAGATGGGTTTCAGCGAATATTGGGACGAATTGGGGCTAAATATTGAAAGTGCAAGCAGATGTGAGCACGTGTGCGGAATGAATAAATGTCCGTTCATACTCACCTATGCTTAAGCAAGGGGAGTAACGGCCCGAGCACTCGCTCACAAGAGAGACTACACTGTTGCCATTAAAATCTCCCGGAAATCAAAATTTCTCTGCAGGATCTAGCCACATTGACAATAAACTGATCCAGGCTTTCTGTCAACCTATCGCATTTTATTCCAAATGAATTTAGGAGGCGTTCATCCTAAGGTATCGTAGAATCTCAATGATGCGAAACCAGCAGATGCAAATTTGTGAAATTTACTACTATGCTCATTAGGCCAAAATTCGGATGTTCGGAACAATTTTCCTCATTGTGGTGGGTTGTATGAACTTTTGTACCAAAATCGTCAAATGAAGGCCGAGCTCAGCTTGCTCGCAGCTTCGCAAGGATCTACGTGGCCAGTGCACGCACTGTCAGAACTATGGTTGTCGTTTGCCACAACCACTGTGGACGAAATTGCTGTCACTCTTGACACAATCTTGTATGGTGGTGACGTAACTGGCAGAGTTCAAAAGTGCACACATGTCCAAGGCTAGACCAATCGAAGTGACATTGCTTTCAAAAACGCTGAGGATAAAACCGCAGCAGATGCAATCATAGATAGCAAAAATCGACTTGGTTTTGAAAGCACATGCGAAGCCAGTGCAAGTGGATTGAAAACAGAACTACCATTTTCCGCAACCGCCACGTGCGAAATTGTGGCTGCGATAATGCCATCATCGATAGTGACTACTAGCAGAGAGCACACGGCTAACGCAGTCGTAGATTTAAAGCCAATAAGCACATAAAAAAGGCTAGAAGTATATTGGCATTCCTGGCCAAAGAATCAAGTAATGTATGTTGTTCCTGTCAATATGCGTACTTTGGTTATACTTGGGCATTCAGTTTTCAGTTGGTCTCGACCGAAGTTTCGACACGTGCTTTCCCGGCAGCCGGCTGTGCCCTGCCGTCTGTTCACGTGTGTCCCAGGAAGACATATGCGAGTTATTTTGACAGAAATAGATTTTGCTAATTGTTTTGATGATGGGAAGTTGCGGGAGATGCGGATATTTGCGCATCGCCTTTGAGACTCGCAACTTCTGCTGTAGTTGGGAAATGCTACCCTCGTGTGTTTGGCCACTCCAAGCCATTATAAGACCGCAGGACTGATTTCACGCCCCCGTTTTTTCTTTTGGTGAAAAAAAAAAAAGAGGCGGGGATAAATCAATGCAACCCCCCTCGCGGAAATCTCCCGGATTGAGAATCCTTGAACTTTTTAGGTATGGTTTCATGGCAGAGAGACATAATTCCTTGGCATTAGTCTATTCCTATTCATGGGTTGTCATAAGGTTGGCAGCTGCCCCGCCACAGTGGTTAGTGGCTAAGGTACTCGGCTGCTGACGCGCAGGTCACGGGATCAAATCCCAGCTGCGGCGGCTGCATTTTCGACGGAGGCGAAAATGCTGTAGGCAACGTGTGCTCACATTTAGGTGCACGTTAAAGAACCCCAGGTGGTCAAAATTTCCGGAGCCCTCCACTATGGCGTCTTTCATAATCATATGGTGGTTTTGGGACCTTATACCCCACATATCTATCGAGCAAGGTTGGCAGCTGGTCTAGCTGCTAGATATACTCTCATAGCAGTCCCATTTATGTTGCTGATCAGCATCAACTGTGAAGTCCCTCATATACAATGCCAGTCATTACCGAAGGGCTAATGTGTAGTGCTAACGTGTGTTCACCTTTCTTTCAGAGCGGTGGCCCTCATGCCCTCAGCACTATTCTTTCCCATCCTGCCGTACCTGCTGCACCTGCTGCTGTTTGCCTTCTGGGGATCGGTTGCTGTGTATCCTTTAGTCTCAGAGGCTGTGCAATCTCTTTTTATGCTCGCACCACTCCTGCTGCATTCTCCTTCAACCAGTATAGGGCGAGCGATCAGTGCGTGGCTGGTGAAATTAGTGTGCTCATTGTGGTCTGTGTGTGGGACGGCCAGGGTGCAAAGGACCTGTTGTGTCGTTCAACTGCGAGATGCCTGACCCTTAGTTTTGACAAGTTAACCATTGTGAAATATTATATCATTTTATATGCAGTATAGACCGCTTATTATGTAAGTTGCGAATATCCGCACCATAAGCGGTACCACACTATAAATAACGCAACCTTTTTCAAGTGTTGAAGTTGGGCGAAACGTGTTGAGCATGCAGCCTCACCTGTCAGAAAATTGAAACATGCGATGCGTAGGATTTACAGCCATTAAAATTTCCGAATATTAAAAAATATATATATACCGAAGAATTGTGGGGCCAACGAAATGAACGTGAAAGGGGGAGGTGGGGAGTCGTAACAAAAGAAAGCAAAATCACAGATAATCACCAATCACCAACTATTGTCAGACTGCCTCGATTATGCCCATTACACAGAAACTACAGTGTTTGCTTGTGTAATGAACCCACCTTTGTTTCAGAAAAGTTGATGCCAATTTGGAAGGAGGGTTCATTATTCGGGAGAAAAATAAAGCTGCGGGAGTAATCATGGCAGAAACTTTGCATGTAGGTATTTAGAAACCTGCTCTTGAACCGATGCTGGCCTTCAATTCAGTGGCAGGAATATGGAGCCCCTACTTGAGAACTTCACTTTCCACCAGAAGAGACTGTCCTTGTTTGTGCCAACAAAATGCGTGATGACTTTTTTGTAGCCTGAGGCTGTTTTCTCTCTTAACGAACACGGACAGATCGACGTTAGTCTCGTTTTCAAAGCGGTTTCATAGTCAACTGAAACGTGCGCCTGCAGAAAAGACATGCTTCGCTGCAACACAGTGGTGACATGGGGAAAGCATATTGCATGCTTCTCGCAACGCCAGCGCATCATGATTTACAGATTCTATCTGGGAATATAAAGAAATTATTAAAGGACAGTTTGGCGGAACTCGCGATGTATGCAAAGCTTGGATTGTCGTTTGCTCCAGCAATTCGCGCATTTGCACTGCTGGCGGAGTTCTTGCCTGCAATGCCTACTTCGAAAACTAAGTTCAAAAGCTTCTATGATCAAGTTTTCCAGCCATAACACATCGTGAATTCCGTCACATTGGCCATTATCAAATTCTTTATTTTACCAGAAAGAATGGGCGAATAGTCTTATAATGACGTGCTGACGCAGCGAGGAGCAGGTGATATGCTTCTTGTGGGACACTACTGTGTTGCAGTGAAGATGTTTTGTTTCCTTCAGGCGCGCATTTTAGTTGATCACGACAGCTCCTCTCTTTTTTTGGGGGGGGGGGGGGGGGGGGTGACAGCAGTGAGGCTCACTGTTCCCCCGTGTTTGCAGAAAAATTAGGACCAGGTATTGCTGGCAAACATAACTCATGGAGCCGCAAAATAGCCGGCACAGCGAACAACCAGGCCTGGTTACTTCAAATAATTCCACTTTCTCACTTTTTGTATGTTCGGTTAGTTTAAAGTTTTCTGATGGCCCCAGTGACCTTGAATTAGCGAGGTTTTACTGTATATATCTTATCTTTCCCTTCAAGTGCAGCCACCGCAAAGTTTTGCTGATTCCCGCTGTACCAAACCGCGACTTGCATAGCATGCGACCGCTACCAAAGGCAACCAACACTGATAAAGCCTAGCCTGCCATTCCTTTTGCTGCTCTGGAAAGTCGGTCCAAGACAGGAAGATCGAGCGTCGAAAAGATTGCACTTAAGTACTGAACCATGAACAGCATGTGTGATACAAAGTTTTTGTTCGCGGCCAGGAGATCGACGTCGAAAACCCGCCAAGCTTATGTAACACCGCGCACTGGCAGCAAAGGCGAAAGCTCTTGTGATGAAGCCGTAAATGCTTTGAAATTTACGGACAAGGTAGCTAACACGATATCTGTCGCAAGCTTGATAACGACGCCGCTTTTTCCGACAGGAAACTTTTAAGCACAGTTGATAAGGAAGGGATCGCACGTGTAATGTCGATTTGCACGCAGCCTGCAACACGTGGCCGGAGCCGAGCTAACACGCTAGTACGCCGCGTAGGTGCTGGTGTAAAGGCTTCCTGGGCAACCACCCTCCTCCCTTAAGGCTTGTTCACACTGAAGGCCAAAGCGGTGAGGTGGCAACGCGGAAAGCGGGGAAAACCTCCTCTCTAGGTGGTAAAAGCGGAAAGGAAACCAGGTGGCAAGGCCGATCGCTCTCCAACCAGTTTTTTGCTGCCCACCGCATTGTCTCAGCTAATCGGAACGTCACGTGGTGGAGGCACGGTGGCTTGCCTTTCAAAAAAGCATTGCTACGCGACAGGGACACGTGCGCAAAAGCGCACGAAGCCCGCCTCTTCTGCCGCGCAGCCAGTCGAAGGAGGCAATTCGGTCTGAACAGGTTCACGCTCTTGCCACCTCGCCGCTTCAAAAAGCCCGCTTGGCACCGCCTTCGGTGTGAATAAGCCTTTACTCGGTAAGCGTACGCAGCAGGGCCCGGTCTTTTTTTCTTCTTTTTTTATCTCGCTCTACCCCCCTTTCGTATATTCCGCGTCCGCACGTTCGTAACGACCTTGTCGCTCGCTCTCTAGCAGCTCACCCAGGGCGCCTGCTTTCAGACACACATTTGCTACTGCGTTTGTCACAACAATTTTCCGGCAACCACATTATAACCGGTCTTAAATCTTGGGGGACTGCACAATAAGCAGTACGTATATACATGGTGCTCCAAGGGAGTGTAAATGGGAGTTTAAAAAGACTGAATTGTAACCAGTCCTGCACTATAAGCAGCCATGTTGTAAGTGATCTACACTGTATCAGGTGCTATGCTTATCGAAGCTTTGCACGAAGTTCAGTCGGCAAACTGTATAGCTCTGTTTGTTTCACTCCCAGGTTTTATTGTTTTAGATGCTTGTGTAAACTAAGCATGCGAGTCATCTCAGCTGACAGCTGCCAAAAAAGGAGACCTTCTGTAAAGAGGGAACCTTCTGTTTTTGTAAATGAAAAAGGTGACAGTTTTAACATGTTGATGATGTTTATTTATTTCTAAGGCACAAAGCATTTTCATTTAATATGCAGAAAAAAAAAAAGAGAAGTCGCATTATGTGTGGCAAAAATATTAAACTGCTCATTGGTGGTTGGGCGAAAATGCCCAGCCAGCCTCAAAATTTTCTCAGGTGCTTGAATTTCGGCATTAAATGCAGGCCATGTCAGCCACCTGCAGTTTGGGCCATCTGTCAGAGCCTGCAGACTCTAACTATAGTGCTTAGAATAATCTAGGCATCCGCCCTAAGCTGGTGATATGCGATCGACCAGATAAAGTAACACTGCGCGCCAATCGATCCACTGTCTGCAGCGGATACCTATCGGCGGGACAGCGGGACTTCAAGACAGAAATGCGTTGCTAGAATTGCGTTGCTGTAGCCACCTACGCATGCTTCGCGGGACAGACAGGCAGACAAGGAACTCTATTAAGGTCCTGAGGAGCCAGCCAGTGCAGTCCTACAGAGAATCTCTGGCTTGTTGTTGGCTGGAAATATAAATTTTATAGCCTAAAAATGTGGCCCTATAGCTTGTTAGGAACTAAAGCTGAAAATGTAAGCTGCATTTTTCTCGTGCAAGCAAGCTTGACGTGCTGCGAACGCCGGCATTGTCAGCGGCAATGTTGATTATCTTAGCAGTGGCACATAATTTTTGTCTTGCAATTGCGGCGTCCCAGTCACAGGTCCTGGCAATAGATGTCCGGTACCATCGCTGGGCCCATGGGCACGCGCCGTTGTTGCTTCACAGCAATTATCTTTACGGTAAACTATCAGCGGTTACTGAAGCTATGGCACGCTGCCGCACATTCTTGCCTTCGGGGGCAAAGCTCCAAATTTATTATGGTCTATTCCTATCATATGTGCTACTGTTCTTTGTCTAGGCAACGACTTCAAAAGGCAACATGCAAAAACTTGTAACAATTCAAAAGAAAATTGTCGGCTATATTGAAAACGTTGATCGACTTTCAGCCACACATGGTATATTTCTCGAATACAAAATACACTGCATTGACAGGCTATATGAATATAGATTATTAGAAAAAATGTATTTCTTATTCAAAAATGTTAAAAAATTACTTTACATCACTCGCTAAGCTAGAACTGCACAACAACACGAAACACGCATGAAACCCTGAAGTATGGAAGGTACCTTGGTCCCGAAACAACTACAGCTTGCAATCACTAACTCATAATATTTCAACCATACTCAACGGGTACAGACACACAACCACATTAAATAAAAAAACATCTGCACAACTACTTTTTATCTTTATAATAAGTTGTTGCCCTGCATTCTTGTACGAAGTGTCATTGTTACATCTTATGTGTACGTGTGATGTATGCTGATCTGTATGTATAATGCTTTGGCTGCGAATGCTGTGTAAAAAACACTCGGTGATATGTGTCATATATGTGCTATTGCCATGTAAAGGACCCTGGGTCTTCGTCAAGCTGCTGTGACAGCTTTTTGCCCAGGTGTCCCTCCATATTGTTTTTCTGGTATATAAATAGAAAAAATAAATAAAACACCTGGGCGAACACGCCTTGCATTCGAGCTGAAGCGCACCTTAACCCCATGGTGAAAGAAAAAAAAGGTGAAAAGTGTATATGGTGGGGGGGGGGGGGGGGAAGTATAGCGGTTAGAAAATTTCTTGGCTATGGTTCTAACCCGTGCAGAAAATGCTTCTTAAGCCACCTTTGCTGCGTACATCAGTGTCCTGTGGAAAAGTGTGTTCAGATTTGGAAGGGGCTGTAAGCGCTAGTCACGGGACAGCACATTTTGTTCAATTACTCATCCTTTTGTATGCCGAGTGATTCCGAGTACCAGTATATTACAGACTTTTAA